CATACAACACTCGGCCGTACCCCTCTCAGGCATTGTGGGTCCCGTATGTACCCCCATTGACATGTGTGGGTTGTACACATGTCTACACACATGCGCATACCATACCATACAACACTCGGCCGTACCCCTCTCAGGCATTGTGGGTCCCGTATGTACCCCCATTGACATGTGTGGGTTGTACACATGTCTACACACATGCGCATACCATACCATACAACACTCGGTCATACCCCTCTCAGGCAGTGTGGGTCCCGTATGTACCCCCATTGACATGTGTGGGCAGTTGGTGCTGTTCATCATCCTCTTCATCGTCGTACCACTCCTTGACGGTCTCTCCGTTCAACCGTGCGTGCAGGCGCCATATCTCAGTGTTCCAGTCCGAGAAGTAGAAGGCCACAGCCACCAAAATGCCGCACTGCACACCTGCGCCAATGGACATGCCTTTATACAGCCCCTGCAGATCATCCTCGAACTGTACAAGTAGTAGGTAGGAGTCAAGTTTAAGTAGTGAGAGCGAAGTAGTGAGGGTATAGGGTTTAGGGTTCACGAGTGCTGGGCTATTAGGTACAGCCATTGACGCTTGCCATTTAGCTGTGAAAGTAGTAGGTAGGAGTCAAGTCAAGTAGTAAGGGCGAAGTAGTGAGGGTATAGGGTTTATGGTTTACGAGTGCTGGGCTATTAGGTACAGCCATTGACGCTTGCCATTTAGCTGTGAAAGTAGTAGGTAGGAGTCAAGTTAAGTAGTGAGGGCGAAGTAATGAGGGTATAGGGTTTATGGTTTACGAGTGCTGAGCTATTAGGTACAACCATGACGTTTGCCATTTAGCTGTGAAAATTGTAGGTAGGAGTCAGGAATCAGTTGTTGGGTAAGAACCCATGAACAACGCATTGACAATCATTTGATCACCTAAGCCTGATAGCAAGTCCTTGTACTGCTACTAAAGCTTGCCATCGAGCCGTATCAGAGGTATGCATAAGCAGGGCAATTGAGTAAGAAATATCAATAGACGGTTCGGCAAGCATTCGGTCACGCGTGTGCCTGTCTATCGATAAGCCGGATGTTATCCTGCTCACACAGAAGAGATGGGCAGGAAGTCCCGGTCAACCTCAAGCCAGCAGCAGACTAGACACCTGTACATGTAGGCATGGCTATATACTGTGTATCCATAAACGCCTCTCCCTTCACCCCCAGCCACTCACCTTAAACGCGAACAACAGAGCCAGCGGCATGCCCAGGATATAGTTGCACACCACATTGAGCAGGAAGGTGATCTGCTGCCGGTGGAACGTTCGCAGTACATTGCGGCAGCTGGTCAAAAGCGCATCCACACACAGATACACGTTCATGTACAGGATAGCCTCCGTAGACATGACAATGGTAGACGAGTCGACCGTAAACAGCCGGGGGGCTTGGTACCGTAGTAGGTAGAGCGCTAGGCAGTACAGTGCATCGAAGAGCAGGATAGTCAGCGAAGACACTACAGCTGCCCGCTGGCAATCGCTGGGCACGGCTTTGCGCATGAAAGTGTCGATCCGTTGCGTGCTGGACACGCTGATGGCCTGTGGACAGAGATAGAAGGATATTTATATACCTAGGCATAGACATATGTGTGTGTGTTGGGAGGATGTTTATATACTTAGATGCATGTACATGTGTGTGTGTTAGGTTATGGACAGAGTTAGAAGGATATTTATACACTTAGAAGCATAGACATGTGTGTGTGTGTTGGGTATAGACAGAGATAGAAGGATATTTATATACTTAGAGGCATATACATGTGTGTGTGTGTGCGTTGGGTTATAGACAGAGATAGAAGGATATTTATATACTTAGAGGCACATACATGAGTGTGTGTGTTGGATTATGGACAGAGATAGAAGGATATTTATATATTGAATATACATGTGTGTGTGTTTAGGGTTATGGACAGCGATAGAAGGATATTTATATACTTAAAGGCATATACATGTGTGTGTGTGTTGAGTTATGGACAGAGATAGAAGAATACTTATATACCTAGAGGCATAAACATATGTGTGTGTGTGTGTTGAGTTATGGGCAGAGATAGAAGAATACTTATATACCTAGAGTCATAAACATATGTGTGTGTGTGTTGGGTGATGGACAGAGATAGAAGATATTTATACTTAGAGGCATAGACATATATATGTCGT